CAGTCCATGGAGGTCCCTTCCTACCTCAACTGTTCTGTGATTTTGTGGTTGCCATTGCAGCTTGTCATCAGGCCAACAGGAGAAGAACCCAAGTTCTGTCGTACTGGATTTTCTTTTGGCAGGAACCACCCTGTGTTCCTAGGAGACTCTTTCTGGTCTAATTGCAACCAAAGATGTATTAAGCTGCCTAGAGTCCAGCAGTAGTGGCTCCTCCTTCCTCACTGTTTGTTTGAAGCCTCTCCTCAGAATCAGGTGATGATTTTCAATTACAAGTTAGCAACATCAATAAAGCCAGTAAAGTCTTGTGAACCACAGCTGTGGACTGCTGCAAAATCCTGAAGCAAAGTTTTCCACTGAAGAAATAAACAGTACGAATAGAGAAGTCTCCTTCTTCCGAGACACACACCAGTGGAGATACTCACAGACTTCTTGGTCTAGCACCGAAGCAAGCACCTAGCACCCTTGAAACCCTCATGTCAAAGAGAGTAAATACTGACTTCTGGCTTTAGTGTGGGAGCTAGGAACAGACATATATGCCTTGCTTTATCTGGAAAGCCACTAACACACCACAAATAACAAAAAGTTTATAACTCTTGCAACTGCAGATGGTTCAACGAAAGGCTACAAATATTGCTTGAACCTGCAGAATAAAATAGTCATCACTTGAAATGATGCCAGGTTGTCCCAGGTAACTTGCTGAAAATTGTGACAGCCCATGGATCCCAGCTGCAGAACTTGTCTCCTTTAGAAGATGCCACAGATGTCAACACATCTGCTGTAGCACTGCCATTTTACTATGCCCATTCACATGGCTTTGTTTTCTCTCTCTTGCTTTCCTTACCCATTCCTCGGAGCCAGAGAGAGAGTAACTAACTGAAATCAACTACAAGTATTCTCCACTAAAATTTGTTGTCCAGTAAGTTTGACCAAAGCCCATTAGGTAAGGCGGACTACCCAAAGAACATACTACCAAAAAAAGTCAGAAATAATTACCACAATAGACAAACATTTCTGCATTTTTATTCTTACAGTTTGAAGTGTGATGCTTCGTTGCTTAGGTGTTTATGAGAATGACTGGTCTTTCACCGTAGTGGATTTTAAAGTACAAATGAGTGCAGTGCAGCAATGTGCTATCAGCAGTGATTGGATGCCAGAAAAACATGCATGCAACTCATTATTCCTAGTTAATGAAGACTTTCTTCTGGTTTGATAGGGTTCATTCTATAGAGCTTTGAAATCTTTAAAACTAAGCCTTTATGTCTTTACCCATCCTCTTGCAGAGTTAGATATAGGACAAAACGGCAAAGCATTGGGCAATATACTAATTTCTTTCTCTTTGCTGAGCTTTTATTCTACATTTCTTGGCTTTACATATGCAAGCAAGGCTTAAGGGTAGATTGGCTTTCATGACCAGTAAGTAATTCCTTGCACAGAAAATAAGATTTTGGTGAGATACGCATCTTGGTTTTCTAATTTCCCTGTCACAATGACATTTTTGTCAGTGTTTTTTCTGACTCACACGAGTAAGACTGTCACCCTCCTTGAACTACATGTTTTGGAGAGGGTTAATAAACTTCTCGCTGTCAGCCTGTCTGCAGCACAGCAGTGTTACTCAGCAATTCTGCTGGAGAGACACTTCTGTTTTGGAAAGACACAAAATGCCTAAATACTTTCCTGGCAAGATCTTAGAGGTCAGAGAAATCAAACTGAATGGCTAAAATGAAGCCAAGGAACTATGTGCTCTCATTTTCCCTTCAAACTTAGCACCTTACAGGATCAGGTCTTCAGGAAAAGAACCAGGCTGGAGGGATAACTGAGGTATTTCCTTACTTTCAGTCTGAAACTTAGATCTGAACAATACACTTGTAGGGTCTCAGAGCCTTTAGGAAGGTTTGGATTGAGAGTCATAGGAAGCAGTGAAAGCTCTTGTATTTTTTAAAACTGCCATTGATTAATCACATTGATTCAAACACTAGTGGTGTAGCATGTGCTCACCAATTGCTTAAATTCAGCTGCATGTCTGATTCTGCCAATGTTAAATAGCAATTACTCCCAGCTGCGTATCCCTACCCAGGATTAACAGCTGAATACAGGACTGCAGCAAGTGGCTGCCATTAAAGGAAGGGGACCAGGCCTGAAAGCCCCAGAAGTTCCTTCCCCCTTAATACATGAAAACTAAATCAAGGGATTCTACGACGTGATTATAATTTTTATTGCTCAGATAAAGTGCAACATTCATTTATTGTCTTTTACAGCTATAAAAGTCTTGAGGTTGCTATTACACTGGTAGCATAGCAGAGAAAACTTCCCACCGTGCTTCCCTGGGAAGCCAGAGGAGGCAGAAGCAGAGCACTAATGAGGGGGTGGCCAAGGCTGGAGCTGCAGCTGCTCCCACCCCCCTGCTCTGGTGCCATTCTCCAGATATCCCCTGGGCCACTTCTTCCTTCCAGTCCGTCCTGCCTGGTCAGTTTTAAGATTTACATCTCCTCTAAATATGATTGCTTTTGCTTTGTTTTCCTCATCACCAGGTTCAGAACGGCTGTCCCACCCCTCGACACCCTGAGTAAGTCCTAAGCCATCTCTCTTCTTGAACAAAGCCTGGTTTCTGTGACATTAGCTGTGGCAAGCAGAAGAGGTCAACTGCCCTCACTTGCTTCACAAGGGAGTAAACGTATTAGGGCTGACAGTGAGAATGGTTTTGGATGTTTTTAGATTAAATCTAATCTATGAACCACACCCCTAGTTTATAGGTGTCCAAACTAAACAAGAAGCAGAAGTAATCAACTTCGTTCTCTTTGTTCTTTCAAAAGCCTAATATGTAGGTTGTTTGGGTGTTGGGGTTTTTCCCTTCAACCTTCAGGTAGAGTCAGGACAGTCCCAGATTTTATACAACAGGAACTAAAGATGGGAGACATCAGTATTCTGTGGATTCACTTAGCAAGTACCAATTAACGGTTCCTGTTGTTCATTCAAAAACTTAAGAGATTGTTGCCAAGTTGCAACAAATTCATTGCTAGCTTTGATTGATAGTGATACTGCACAGGAAGTTTCTGATGTGACAAATACCTTCACTCACAGGAAAACAAGAAGCATCTACTTCAAAGCGTGTCTGACGTGTGGAAAACAGACTCCACAATCTGTAAGACTGTAAAGTAGGTATGGTTATTGGGCGCCGGGCAGCACGGGGGGTAGTCCCACCAAAGTTGTGCGCGCCACACGTGGCGACCGGCTTCAAACTTATACAGGTCAGTGTTACATATACATGAGATTTCCCAACACGCCTATACATATGGATGACCTATCCCCGCTTCGTATTGAAATTACTTCCCAGAGGTTATTTCCATGGACTCCTCCCGATTGCGCCTGCGCAGTGCCTCCTCGTGGTGGTCGTCGGGGGTCGTGGAGATGAAGGCTGATGGCTGCTCTTCATCGCCACTAGTAATCTCTTGCTTCAGGATAGGTTTTAACAGGTCCTTAAGGCTGTCCTTTGTGAGGAGCTTCCTGCCTCAGTTAATTTACAGAATAGTTAACAAATCATTAAGCCGCACCTTTGAGTCACACCTGCTAATTCAATTCCTAGGGCCATACAACATCTTATCTGTTAAGATTCCCTTAACTCCTTCTCTCATGTCCATCCTGTGGAATTTAGGAAGAACTCCCGGAAAGCCCAAACAAGGCACACTGAAATTTGTGGGATTATTTACCGACTTCAAGTTAGGCAGGTACTAATGTGAGCTTCAACATGTATCCTAATACAAGTGGTGACCCTTGCTGAATACAAGCTCTAAAGAGCTTATAGGAATATCCTACGGACATTCATAGCCTATATCCTCTCCATATTCTTACAGGCAATCAATCTTCACAATATGCTTCAAGGGGATTGTTAAATAATCTACAGTGAATTTCAGTGTTCTTTGCTCACTTGAAGACCTCTCTTCAACCTAAAAATCCTTTGGACTATTTTTTATATTCTGGAGCTTATACTCATGGTCTTTTAAATCTTTTTGAAAAACTAGAGCAACATACTGCAATGCAACCTCTCCTGCATTGTCCTTCTTACTTCCCCATTAACTAATGGAATTAAATGCTCCTTATTTCTGGTAGAATGCCTTTTTACTATCTTTTTAGTTATAACTTATTTTGAAGCTTCAGCCTTCTGGCTTTATACACTCATGCTATTATTTTTTTACTTGCTTTGAGCCAGAAAGCTTTATTCTCACTTGTTACATGATTCCCCACCCATTTCCAAATCTCAGTTACTGGGGCATTCTTCCCTGCTACCTTTTCTCCACCTATGAGGTTTTAATACATTTTTTCAGTCATGGTCAATGCTTTGCCCAATTTTACCAACAGATAAGCAGTTCTCCATTCTTCTCCGGTTGCAGTTCCCCTTGCACAACTGTAAATTTCTGAATATTAAAATAAATAAATTTATTTTCTTTCAGGGTTGTAACTTTATCAGCCATAATTTCAATGAGTTTCACCTTCCTGTGGAAAGCCTTTTCCCATTAGAGTAGGTCCTCTGGAGAATACCCTGACCTGCTCTTTGTGCGCTGAAGGCTGCTCTTTGAACATCACTGTTATTTTTTTGCTTCCCTCTTCCTTCCTGACCTTAGAATAACAGACACCATCACTTTGTAATTATTTTTATCCAGATCACTCAAAAATTATTTCAACACAGAAACCATAATTTTATTGGAAGTAATCAACAGAACTGCAAGAAGTTTTAACTGAGTGCTGCACTATGTATATTTTGTTATTACAAAACTGCTCTCTGGTTGAAAGTCCTACAACTGCACCAGCTTGAAAGCTGCTTAACAGAATGTCACAGCTTTTTTTTCTTACATACCTTGTGCTAGCACACCTCCCCACGTGTGGCAAACCTATTAGTTTGAAAGAGGAACTGGTAAACAGGCTGTACAAACCTAATCTTTCAATATCTATGGAAGTCTTTTTTTTGCAGTTGGCAGCCTCCATTTTAAAGCGAGTGGCTTTTCACTTCATTTCAGTTTATCAGTAGGCTGACTTAAAGTTTTACCATCATCCGCCTCCAATTCATATTCCTCTTCCTGTAATTCATCCTCCAGATCATAGTCCAAGACCGATTCAGTGTTATCATCGCAGTAATCAGCTTCGTATCTCTCCAGTAAGTACTTCTGTGATGTAATGTCATCATCAGGAGGATTCCTTGTTTTTTTCTTTTTCATTTTCTTTTGAATCTTATAAAGCTGCTGCTCCTGCTCGTCTGTCCAGGCAATGCTTTCTGTATGTCTTGACACTTTCAGTCGTTTGTAGTCCATTATCTGCTTATTCAGCAGTTCATGATCAATACCAAAAAGATTAGACCGCATGGGTGAATCTGAAGATTGAGTTGCTGAAGAGAACAGTGTACTGTAGAAAGGAAAACAAACGTTGTGGGTTTTTTTTCCCGTGTATATTTTAAGTGGCAATGCTAACTGTGACTACTTCAGTAACACAAAAATAAACTGCAGTTTTCAGTTTGACTTTAATAATGCGCTGTGCTCAGCATTGTGCTCCCTACGTTAAGAAGGAGGAGATACCACCGTACTATGTGTCCAAGGACAGGCTGCGTATAAGCGTGTCAACAGATTTAATGGGAGGAAGCCAATAAGGCAACTACGTTCCTGATGAAACTGCTTGTTTCTGGGAAAAGGTGTGCATAGATAACAGAGTGAGCACTGGACCTGGGAGCCCCAAGAAGTTAGACTTCTCCCAGCTCTTCCAAGAAGTGAGAGGCAGCAGCCTGTGCCCAAAACATGTCAGACAGATGTATGAATGACAGCATATGACACCTTAAGCTGGACGTAAGTATTTCCACAAGACACAAACAGAGGAAGATGTTAGGTGCCCTGTGGGAAAGTCTGTCACAACAATGATTTCCCCCAAAAAGCTATTTCTGATTTGCACCTGATGAACCGTCCTGTGAGACGTTACAGCACAAAAGGCATTTCCACCAACAGACGCCAGCACACAAGTGCAAGGCTGTTAGCTTTGAGAGCATCCAGTACACAGAATCATTATTCCAACAGATCGTTCAACACCCTTCAATAACCAAAATCCCTTGCAGAAGAATGCTAAATTAACTTATTTTTTGTTAACAAACCAAACTTCTACCAGAAAAAAAGTGGCCAAGTAAAGGAGTACTGGTAAATGCAGAGCTTTTATCCTCATGAGAAAATTACCGGCAAGAAAAAAATACTACTGCTGCAAAGCATTTTTTTAAATTTAATTATCACAAACACACTGAGTCTTGAACTCATGGAAATTCTAAAAATATTTCCCTCATAAAACTAAAGATACTAATACCAGAACAAGTATTGGGTCTGCAAGTAACAAGTCTGATGTAACAAGTAACTCCGAATGTAGACATCAAACACAGCTGATTTCTAATTTTGTGTTCTGGTATCACCTTATGGGTTAGTTGCCTCTGAAAGTGTATACACTATGCTGTTATAAGTGACAATTTTATGTAAAAAATACTTTCCCTTTCCATATTTGCAAACTTGTGGTCTGCAGCAAGGTACCTGTGCACAAGAACCAACAACAAAATAGCCTATGAAAATGTGTCTGCACTAAAATACGAAAGTAAACCAGAGCATATATAATGAGAAATATTTTCCCTTAATTTTAATAAATGGGTGTAACTTTGGTAAAGAAAGCTTAAGCCACAAAATAAATGCCGTGATCTACATTTAATTCCTGGGATGATTACATACTAGTTTTGTCCTAGGCTATTCTGTAGCCTCTTCCATTAATAAAAGGGCCCAACTGATCTCTTTAAAAGTTGAGATGCCTTTTCGGTAAGGTCTTCCAAAAACTCTCTCTCTTCTACTTTCTATTTCTGCATAACACCATTTGCTGAACTCCGAGATAACAACAATGTGCACCTCCAATTAAAATACTTCCTGTCATGTCAAGTAATACCCAATTTAAGCTGGCCAACGGTAATGACAAAGGACACTTGTACAATTTTAATTCAAAAAACTCACCTAGAATAATTTTGAGATAATGTTTCTTCTTCCTCTGGAGGTCCAAAATCAGCAATTGATAATAATTCCTCAATCTGTAAACACATGAAGACAATACATTTTAAAGGTCCTATATTAAATTTACTTTGTTCACATGTACAAGTATCTAACAGCAAATATTTTATTTTCTACATGTTTGGAATATTTAGCAAAACCATTTCAAAAGAGTCTTTTCCTCCATTTACACAGAACAGCTTCTACTTCTTGCCTGGGAAGTTTGTGTCAAATAGTGTAACTGATCCAGGGATTCCTACAAAGTTTTTTGCCCTACATACATTCTAAACAGCTGGCTAGGGATTGTGGGACATATATAATTTTTGTTATATTTGGTCTTACTTCAGTCCTGCAAATCCTTTTTCATAACATCCTTACACTGAGATTTTTTTTCTCTTCTTCCCCCTTTCTGCAAGTTTGTATTTCTATTACATGTAAATATTGAGTTCCCAACTCCCTTTCAACACGGCACCTAACCAGTAAATGCTACGAATCTAGTATACTCAGTGCTTATAGACTGTAACTAATTGTGAAAATTTTATCTCATTTGCAATTTTTATTCTTGCTTTTCTTTACGTTACTTCCCTTCTAATTCAGCATATTATTCTAGGAGTTGAATTGGATGGTCCTTCCCCGTCTTCCAATACTTAAAAATCAGGTTCAGCTACATTATTTCAAGCCCTGTTATTCAAATATGTGGATTACATAAATCTGATGATCTGCAAAGTGTGAAAAGATGATCCATCTAAGTGCCTGCCATTCACTGACAGATGCTATACAAGGAGGGTTTTTACTTGTCTTGTGTCGTTAACTTTCTTGGTGCCTATGCACTGAACTTGAATGTTAGGTAGTCCAGGGGTTTTCTTCTTCAAAAAGAGTAAGTGGTCATTTAACAAAGTTTGAGAAACAGATTCCACAGTAACGGACCTGAAAGCAGGACCTGCAGGAGTAGGTATTTGTAGCTCCATCTCGGTATGTTAATAATAGAGTAATAGTAATGACAAAGTGCTTCCATAATTGCTCATTACTACTTGAGTAGAATTTCTTGTGTTGATTAGGGGGAGCATAATAACGAATATAAATAGCTTTCAGAAGTGTTTAGTTCATTTCTATTCTTGTACTTTTTGTTGATGCTAATGCAGGTGAAAAACGTGGATCACTATATCGGCATGAAACTCAGAATTTTTCTGACCATAGAAAGTTCAAGCAGTTTACTGCATTTCTAGAGAGTCTGAAGTTCTTATTATCTCTTCCAGCTCTGCTAATACACACCACATGAGCCCATTAAGTCATTAACAGTAATTGGTTGTAATAGTAGCACATCTAAGAATAAGGCACTTCAGGGCACAGCAATGTGAATATGCTCTTTTCAACTAATGTTCTTCCCATTCACATCAACAGCTCGAGGAGACATTTTTCATGAAATTCTACTCATTGGTGTCATCTTTCTCTTCTGGAAATATCACACTTCGCAGTCCTAATGACAGCAAATTCCTATAAAACATCATTATTCTAGCAATATTTCAACTAGTTAAAACTATCAATACCTTTACAGAAAACATGAAATAGTAAGGATAATTTTAAAAGTGAAAAAAAAAAAAGTAGTATGAGTGAGTTTACATCCTCTATGCACAATCTTCACTTATAAACATTTTAACAATTCAGAGATGGAAAAAGGTTTGGGTAAAAAAAAAAAATTAAAAATCACTGATTAGATTCAATGGTCTTTTAAAAACACATAACATTTAAAATGTGGAAGACAGCTCCTCAGACCTCATTTCTACAATCATGTATACCAGGCAACAGACAACTGCCTACCCTATATTATTCCTTAAAATTATAATTTAATTTTTAAGGATTTCTTTATTGGCCTAGTGATTTGGCCTACAAGCTTCTCTGAAAACTTCACTTCATAAATTTTAATAGTAGCATCAAAAAAAGTTCATGAGGCAATAGCTACAAGGATTCTTTTATATTGTATATAAGCATCAGTCTTACTCAAGACTCTTTGCTAAAATGCTTTGGAACATGAAAAGCAAAGGGTGCAGACAAAGGCTGATTTTTAATGTAGATTGGTAGAGCAATTGAATGACCAGCTCTCTCTGTATTCCTAAGCATTATGGTATGCTAAGTCACCATGTTTGCACATCATTATATTTGTACATTGAGTCAAAGATTGCAATTACCTCTTTTACAGCTGCAGCTTCTTTGTCTTTTATGAATACTATTGGGGGTACATTTCCTAGAATTTGCTGACTCTTCAAAAGATACCTGGTAAAAATACAGCATTCACCAGTATGAGTAACAGTACAGCACCTCCAGGACAGATAAAATATGTTAAATTAATTCGTAGTGTGAATTTAAGGGTATGGTTTGCAAAACTTACAGGGTGATGGGTATCCATTCAGCTTTGTGCTATGCAATACATCAATGCAGAATCCCAACTCTGAATGTATAACATAAAAACTACTAACTGCAGATTCCACTGAGTACTGATGATATTACATTTGTCTCCTATATGCACACGCTGGCGCAGGTCTTTCCCCACTTCATTTGCCTTCCTTATCCTCATTGCAGAGGTGAGAGCAGTGGGGGATACAGTCCTCACAACAGGGCAAGACAACTAGTCCTACATGCTAGCTGCAGGAACAACAGGGATTCCCTCATCTTCTGCCCAGCCAGCAACATTCCTTCTCAAAGAGTGGAAGCTGTTGGGAGTAGAAGAGAGCATTGTGCTGGAGAAGGAATTACACAGCCTAGGGAAACAGGGGGAAAGGAAACGGCTCTACAAGTATGCTTCAATGCCACCCTCCCTATGGGGTGAAGTCCTGCTCCTCCAACAGACGGGCTGGATAGCAGAGGATAAGCCAAGGAAAGAGGGAGAGACAAAAATCTCTATGATATCCTGAAAACTCACTGGACCCTCTCCCAAAAATGAGTAAAAGCATCACAATACATGGTAGCATTCTGACATTTATTTTTTGGTATCAATATTGTGAAGAATTTCTGTACTATCAGTAATCCCTTCTGGAGATCCATAGGATTCTGTGAGGCTCATCACGGGAGATGCTCTGACTCCAAATACCTAAAAACCTAAAGCATTCTAACAGGTCAGATACAGATTGTTAGAAATACTTCAGAAATGGTACTAGTACATGGTTACGAATTTATGAAGTGGTCTGTTTATCCCATAGCAGTACCGTATACGTGGAGCACTCTTCTGCAGTACACTTTCAACAAAACTTTCTTTCTCCATAGTAGCAGCAGGATTCCAGTACACACGACAAGCTGAAAAGTTTGATGCCAGGGACACCTGCAAAAAGACAAATGTTTCTTTAACATTATATATCTATACACACACTTCATATACAACAAAGTCTCTAGTTCATGAACAAGCATACAGTGACACAAACTGGATATGTAAATTCTTAGGAGAATCCCTTCTTCCACCTCCGCTCTTAAGGACCATAACTACATAGTGCCTTTATAGAGGTAGGCTTTAACATCAAATAAGATTTACATTCAGTACCTGAAAAGACTTTTTTTATTTAGCAAGTCACTGCCTAATCTCCCCTTCAACTAAAATTAAATGGAGAAGTCTGTCAACACCTGTATGTCACTGACAGTGCTACACTTAGTCAATGCAACAGCGCTACCAACACAAATAGTCCAGAATGACACGTTATGGCATGCTGTTTCAGAATACAGTTGAAAGTGTAAGTTTCTGCTAAAGAAGGACCTGTGACACTGTCTGGTTTGTGGTCACCCAGGGTTTGATTTTGATACTGACAGAAAAGAGGATGCCCTCCATGCCACTGAAATGTAAGAGTCTCTCCAGCCAGCTCTCAAGCCTGCTGGGAACCTCCAGTGCCTGAACCCCTAACTCACTAAAAGGCAATATTCATAGCTGTCATGCATGCACTTGAAAACACATGGCGTGCAGGGGCCAGAGCACACGAGACAGATTGACAATCTTCCTGAAGAATAAACTTCTGAAACACAAATTGGATTCTGAAAGATTTCTGTAACTGTCATTCATCGCATCTAGCAGCATGTTACAGAACAGGTTCTCACTATGAGAGTACACGTAGCAAATTTCTAATAACCTGTCTGGCCCAACTGAAGGAAGGAGCTGAGGAAGAGGGAGGAGAAAGCATAAACTACCCATTGGAAGGCACAGTTCAGAGGTCATCTAGTCCAGAAACCAACTCTTCAAACAAATAGGT